ACGTCATTGGTTCCTTAGGAAATATTTTTATTCGACACTAGTGTCAAAATGTTAAAAGTAAACATGGATTATTTTGTATTGCAAATTTTAAAAATTATTTTTATTTTAAAGTTATTCGGCAGTAATATCAAATATTAAAAATAAACACTTATAGTTCCATTATTTAATTCCTCAAGTATATTTTATCTTGTTAAATAAAATCTTTTTTAATTTATTATTGTCAAAAACCACAGTTTAACATTGATAATGAAATGGCTAGTTTAATTTTTTTTAAATATTTTATTGACTTATTAATACTATTAGCGCGAGAATCTTGCCCACCATCCAACAAAATTTCACATTTATCACTTGATTGATTTTTACAATAGCTGTGCAAATGATTTGATATTATAGTATTTATATGGCATGTGTTTGAATTTTAGTTGGATATAATTAATTATGAAAAAAATTAATTATTAATTAATTTTTATTATAATTGATTATATTATAGCGTGACTATGTTTGGATATTATTTTTAAAATTAATTTTAATATAATTGTAGATGTTTAGATAATTTAGTTAAAATTAATTTTAAATAAACAAATTACTATAAATGACTTTGTTCTTGAAAGATTATTATAATTTGTTCACATTCCCGCCACACCGATCAAGCATTCCCGAAATCATAAATGTTGGGTATAGACTTGGTTACAATCAATTAATTTAAATTATATACCTGATATGTGGCCTAAGGGCATACTGGGTATATTTGGATATCTGGAAATTTCTCTCTGTTAATAAATGTGGAGGCAATAAAATTGAATTTGAGAAGCTACTCCTCCCAACTTATGCTAGAACGCAGTTAGTAGCCAATTAATTGATTATGGGCAAATGGAGGTGTTTAAATATTTTTTACTCAAATCATGGTTTTATTTTCAATAATTGATTATACATGCAAATCCAAACAGGGACTTCTATTATTACTGTTAGCAAATGCAAACTCACTTGTTTGGGCAAGCGCCGAGCTGTGCTACTTTAAATGCTAGTGAATCTAAATGTCCAAGCCGCAACGGATCCGATGACCTTTCCATATTATAAGCGATTCAGCTCTTTGAAGTGTCGAAAACAAGATCAGTATAAACAAAGCCCCAAACATACCATGGGAGGACGAGGTTTTAATAGCGCTATTCCGTGTCGGTTTTTTTTTTTTTTAAATCCTGGCTGATTATTCAAGTGAATTCATTTCAAGAGATGATTCATATCGTGGAAATGGGTAGAAGGCATTGGTTAGGCATACTCCGATTTGGCCTGAAACATTATGCAACTCGTGTTAACGTCTTACAGATCGTAGCTTATTACTTTAATTTTTAGAACTGTGATCATCAAACATCAAAGATCAGCTTAACTGCCTAATAAAAAATTTGCTATGCTTTGCACATAAAAGGATGCCAGGGTTTTATATTGTTCCAAAAGTTAACTTCCAATTCCCAGTGTTCATATATGAATAAAAACAAAGTTAGGTTCTGTTTGTTTCACGTTAAGATTCTTTAGGAATAACATTTTCCATAATAATCACGGTGTTAACATATAAACATATTTTTATGAGCTTATCGTGATATAATTATGTCTGGTTGACCGGCTATTACCAGGTGAATTGTCTCTTCCATATGTCATCATTTTTTTAAAATCAGGAATTCAGGTTCATGACATTATATTATACATGCCAATCTTTATATACAACTATCCACTCTTTGCTAATTATTTCAGCCCATTCTATTTTTCCATCATTCGATTTCATTCTATTATCATCTTTTTCAATATAACCAAAGGATTAATTGCCTCTAAAAATTAAAACTCCAACACTCCCCCCACCAAAAAAATAAAAATAAAAAAGACACTTTGTAATTAGATCATGCTGGCTAACAGTTGACCTCTTTATTTTCCCATGATTACTACGTCCTATATATACCAATAATCCAATTTTCTGCAAACTTTTAAGGTTAAGAAGTCAAAGAAATTTCATAACAGGTTTCATAGTAAACTCTGTAGCAGAAGAGGTGAAAAGTCAAAAGAAAATTTATTATAGGAGTGATAGTACTCGGGTGAAAATAGTCTCATGCAAATTATGAAATGAGCAGGTTGAGTTCATATCGGATATGGGCCCAATATAGTAAGCCTGATTATTCTAAATTCAATCATTTTATAAAGCTCAATTTTTATTTAAATGGCTCAGGATTGAAAGTGTTAGTTAGTTTTTATTTTTTTAAAAAAATCAATTATAATATTACATATTTTTTTTAAAATACAAATTATAATGTTCAAAAATTAAAAATAAAAAATAGAAACTCTAGTTTTAAAGTATAATAATATATTCTAAAGTTTAAATTTAATTTAAAAATTGAAAATCTTTTACTTTTAGTGATAAAACAAAAAAGGTTTAAATTGACTTTCTGAATCTATTTTTTCAAAGACCTATCAGGGTTGAGCTTTAAATCTTGATTTTCTTGAAAAATGTCATTTTTTTAAAACTTAAATCTTCATAAAAACAAACTTAAATGGGTGAATTATTAGGCCTAACTTTTATTTCTAACTCTAATCTTATAATGAAAACTTTGCTCTTGTTCCTCAAGTTCAAACTTCCCAAACCAAAATGCGCATTTGGCAGCATCGTTTTTTCAGGCCAGGATGCTAGCCATGTATTACACACACGAATATATATAGGGTGAAAGATATCATTTTTCTTTTATTAAAAAAATAATTTAGATGAATTGAATCTAAACTCCCTCCCAAGAGCTCATCGGGGTCAAAGTAAACCTCTAATCTTAAAGAACATGGTAATGGGCAAGGGCGAAAGAAGGAGGGATTAACAAGAGCCACAACCCTCATGTTTTTAAATTTTTTTAGTATTGTATAGATATTATATATTTTTTGCCTCTAAAATTTGTGAAAGCTTTATAATGTGTGTGTATATATATTAATCTTAACTTCCTTTATTTTAAAACTTTATGAAATTATAAGTTAAATTTTTATTGACTAGACTAATTTTTATTTACATAACTAAACTAATCTTTACAGATAAAAGATATTTTTTCTTTTTTTTTTCTTTCTTATATAAAAGAGGGCTAAGGCCAACAACGGTAATTAAAGAAGGGGGTATTGGGATCCCAAACACGAACTATGCACCAGAGCCACACTCAACAAAGAAGACGACACAAGTCCCTCCTCAGCCGAAGCATCAGCTCCACTATTTATAAGCCATGCACAAATTGTAGAGCTTAATCAACTTCTCAACTGACCTCAGGTCAAGCCCAATGAACTTTGGGCCTGTATTCGAGCCATAATTGGCCACTGCATAAATTTCAACCACTTGACATCGTATCTCTCTTTCTGTTAAAAATAAAATAAAATAGAAAACTGTATTTTACGATCACATACCGGAAGGAAACATGACTTCTTATTCATATTTAGCTACCAGACTACCGCCATCCCTTACAAGAATACAAATATTATTCCGTAGCTCAGAGATGCTTACTCGAACACCATACTTAATTCTGCCCATTTGCTTGGAGAATCAGTAATTGGGAATAAAGAATTAGGAGATGCTTCCCCTGAGACGAGGATGACCAGGATTATGATCGACTTAATTATAACCCATAATTTTTGCACAACAATCATAACCTATAATACGGAAACTCATTCCACAGAGATTATATTTATAACTTCATCTTAAACATTGGAGAGGCAAAGCGAATCACAACACCCACATCAGGCGGAAGACAACCCATCCTCGAATATTCCGAAAATTAAGTTCACCAGCAGAAATAGGGTGTGGATAGCACTTGATGTTTATTTATAATTATTTCAAATGCAACTGTTTATAATTGATTAGATTGGAAGGATTTGGTGATATTCATTTTAAAATATTTACAGTTTGTCCGTGTTGTTAGGCATGACACGTCGGTCATGTGGATTCCTCTTCAAAGTAAACAGATTATCAAAGGACGTGTTGGACAACAAGGAAAATTAGGCACGCCCTTCCATGACACGCTTGTCGAAGGACGTAGGCAAATACTTTTGCATGAGACTCATCTCGTACATGCTTCCTCATTGGACGGTGCTTCTTACAAGAAATCATGATCTTATTATTGCCTCGTAAAGTTGATCAGCGACCCCAAAAGTATCTCTCTGCTTTTAACAAGACGCAATTCTGTTCTTTTAATGAGGGGAAAAAAAAAAAGATATACATGGATGAGGCGAAAGGGATCAAAACAAAAGATAACAAAAGGGACCGGAGCAGAGGATAGCTAAAGTGGGAAATGAAGAAATCAAGTAGATTTGTTTGATCTTGGAGTCGATAAAATATTTGCAAACAAGCAGAGCCCGAGGTATTTGAAGAAACCTAATCCCTTAGGCTGAAAAAGGGAAAGCTTTTCTAGAGTTCTTAGCTTGTTTTCATCGATTAGATTTGATCTTTTCTCCATGCAAAAAACTTTTTGAAAAAGGAGGTGGGAAGTGGAGGCAATGGAGAATCCGATATCGAACACCAAGCAAATCCAAATGGTTTCGCTTTTTAATCTTTCTATTTTTTCCCTTTTCTAGCTTTTGTCAAGTTTAAAGAAAGAAAAAGCAGGAATATGGGATTAAGTGATGAACCTCAGAGCCGAAGAGGGAACAGGTAAGGACAAAATGATCTCGAACTGAAACATCAAGGCCAGTTAATATTGTCTCAGATAAGACACGTAGAGGTGTAGTGGGGTGGTCCGAATGGATGATTGGCATATATGTAGGGTGTGAAGGATTGATATCTCTGGGGACTGATGGAAAAAGACCCGCACTATATACAGCCAGTTAATGAATTTTACTTGATAGGATGAAAGTGACGCCAACCAATTAAGCTTCACAGATGTGTCATTCATCAAGAAGCATTCAATACTTTGAACTGTTTCAGCTTGGCCACAGTTTGTTAATTTTGGATACGACCGTCAAACGGAATCATTGACCGCGCGCGCACCTCAAAAAAAAAAGACCAAAATTCAATATTCTTCATTTAGCCCATAATAATATTCCTTTACAACATTTTATGACTCTTTGGTGCGGCTGGCAACAAAAAGGGGGTGGGGGAAAAATCTAAATGAAAACAAAAACTACAAATGGATGAGAACGAGGTCAATTGTCGTCGATGATGGCTAAGGTTGGGGGTTTCTGGAGAATATTTTCTGTCCAGGTGCGAGGATAAACAAGGGATCAAAACAGGTCTTTCTGCTCACGAATCTGGTCCATTGATTCCCAAAATGTCGCTTCCAATCCTCCTGACACTTGTAGTGCGGAAGGTATGGCTTGAAATCAAACCCTCTGCTGCAGCAGAACTGAATGATCTCTTGGTTTTGAGCCACCAGCAACTCCGGGGCCGGCCCTTTCGGCGGCGGCGGGTTAAATCGGAGCAGCGCCACAATGTAGAAGATGTCGCTCTCCGGCAACGCCACCGACGTGCGAGAATCCCACCTGATTTATACAGACATGATACAGTAACATCATTTTTAGTTGCGACCAAATAAAGTAATCCCATCTGAAAAGATGATGCTTAAATTTGAAATTGAATAATCGCACGAGAGGTCAATTTCAAGGCGCATGATTTATTTAAAGCAGTTGTTTTGGTGCCAAATTGGCCGAGGAAGGGGCCCCTCCAGGAACCAAATTCCAAGCCCAAGAGAGAAGCACCTGCACCATCCCTGCCTCTGGAACCAGAGGGGCAATTTGGTCCCATCCCACGAGAAACATTATAACATTTCAATACACCAGACAAACGCTGGTGTCCCTGTAATGGGGCTGGCGAATAAAATAAATATCCTTGTCCATTCTCAAATGGCAATACTGACCATGAAAGCTGCCTCACTTGGAAGGGAAATCTCGACACTTACCATTTCATTCATTTACTCTCTCCCTTTATTCTCTCTGAACTTCCCACCATCTGTTTCTACAACTAAGGCAAGCTTACCCAGCTCCGTCAAACACACTTAATTAATAAACATGCTTAATCAATCAAACGAGGATTTATTTACACCCACCCCGACCCCACTGTATCTTTGTCCCAATCCGAAGGCACGCCTTCTATGTGTTTGCATATACGCCAGCCCCTCGCTGATGCAATGGGGAAGATCTGTGCGGTCATACTGTACGGTCGATCACAGAGTAGGAAGGTACACTCCTCCCAGTGTGATGAAACAGCTCAGGCAAGGCAAACTCCTCCCACTTTGGCCAACCTTAATAGTAGAAAAATATTTGACCCACCCTCGAAATCTTAACCACCCGGTTAATTTTGGCTCTCCATCAGCTGTCAGCATGTTGGGCCGGAAGGGCTCGGCTGGGCTCATCACGGCCACATCCCTCTTACGTGGCATCAACAGATACCGTTGCTGCCATTGACCTCGCCACGTCTCGGCAAAGCTCGTGCATATCGACCTTACACGTGGCAACCATGCCAGGGACACCACCAACCAATGCATTTAAACTCATAGGTCCCCCACATAAGTACATGGTAGACACAGGAGGCGCCCACGAGAACAAGAAGGCAGTCTCATCAAAGAGGGGAAAAAAAAAATTTCTTTTAAAAAAATGAAAATAAAATTTTTGTAAAATATATAAATAATAATTTAATCATTTAAAATGTCATAATTTTTTTAAAATTCTTAAAAATTATTTTTTGATTAATAAATTTATATAAATTATAAAATTACTATTGTTGAAAATAAATAATTTATAAATTTTTTTAAATATTCATAAATTTTTTTATATTCGTAACAATACAACAATAAATAAAAAATTTAACATATGAATTTATAATTTATTATACTGTTACGATATATTCCTAACAATATAACAATAAATAAAAAATTTAACATATGAAGTTATAATTTATTATATTATTACGAATATAAAAATAAAAAATATAAATATTTTAAATAAAATTTATAAATTATTTATTTTCAACAAGAGTAATTTAATAATTTATATAAATACATTAATAATAAAAAAATTTTGAGAACTTTAAAAAAATTATAACATTTTGAAAAATTAAATTATTATTTTTATATTTCAAAAAAAAATTATTATCATTTCTTCTTTTTTTTTTTAAAGTAATTTAACTTCTACACCTAATAGGGAAATAACGAAGAGGAAGAAGAGGTACTTACTTGCTTCGCAAGAGAGGGTAGACCAGGATGGGTCCACCCACTCCTTGACTGAGGACGCCCTTGAAGACCACACGATCAAAATCAACGATGTTGTGGCTAGATACGAAGAGGTTGAGCCAGGGGTGAGGGGCGTCCCAGATGCCGTTGGCCTTAGCATCTTCCTCCGCACGCTTAACACGTAGCAAGAACTCGGTGTAGCCCACGTCCACCTGGAACTTGAAAGGCCGGAGGAATCGCAGCCGTCGAAGTGATCTATCCACACCCTACGGGGGGATGAAGCAAGAATGAGTGTTGCCATAAACAGGGGGGGTATAAACGTCACTGGAGGAAATCGAGGGACGTGTCATACGGTTCACATTTTACAGATTCCAGAAAATGATGGCATTTGGGCAATTTGCACAACTGTGGGGACCGTAACGTCAGCGAGATCTCAATGATCAGCGCAATGGAGCACCCACTGATGTTCAATTGCCCTATTTAACCACAAGGTGACGCCCTGTATTACGGAAGTGACCCCTCCCGGACAACAGAGCCTAGGTATAAAGTATAAACCCGCCAGTTGCTAACCCCAGCGCCCAATTGCCCATATGGCATCCGTAATTTGGACCAAAGCCACGCCCTCTCACCAAGGGCTCGTGTGTCAGAAAATCCAATGGAAGATATATCGGGACCGTATGGTCAGTTTTCAACAACCATTTCCCACCGGAGGGAGGGGACGCACCAATATTGTAAATAGCATCGAAAGGGGGAAAAAAAAAGAAAAGAAAAGATAAAATATTAAAAAGCAAAAAAGGCACAAAAGCTGTGCCATCATGGCGGACAAGAACAAAAACCGTCCTGTGTGGCTCCACCTTGTACACGTGTAAGTGAAGTCTGTGAGAATGTTTTGACTTTTTACTAGGGGTCCCGCCAGCACAGTGCTCTCTCTACGGTTAAGTCTTTTGGCTAAGGGAGCGAGGGACACACTTCGCAACGGCGTAGGTCAAAACACAGTCATCATGGGGCAAGCCGGAGGACACCCTCCACTCCCCTCCCTTGTGCCCCGGACCCCACCCTCTAGTAAAGAAAGAAAGTCAGAACTCACCTCCAGTTGGGAACGGCTAGTAAGCTAGAGCCTACTCTGCCGCAATTGCGACCGCATACACCAAATCGCAAATACTTAAGAGATTTTTTTTTTGTTGGCCAAAAAAAGAGCTTTGTAAATTAGTTACCGCATCGACATCTGTAGGGCGGTCTGAATTACGATAATGAAGAGCGAGCTCGAGGCAGTAAAGGACGGGGCCAGCGGTGGGAGGGATGTGGTTCGGGTTGAATTCTTGGTCCGGGTCCAATGGTACTGTGGGCCACCCGCTGGAAGGGTCGTCTCCGTTCACAAATACGAACCCTTCCACGTAATCGAAAGGGTCGTCTTCTTGACGAGTTACCAGTGACTCGGCATCTCTAGTGAAGTCTTCAAATTCAGAGTAGACTAGCCTTATCCATCTCACCTAATCACATCAGAAAAAAGAAAAGAAAAATAAATAAGCATGGTTGCGTTCTGTAAACGTGTCGTTCATGCAGAAGCGCACCACAATTTTCAGGTAAATCAAACAACCAATGAGAAGTGCAGAGAGACTCCGACTTCATTTTCCGAACAATTCAAAGTTAGTAATAAAAAAATTCGGTGAATTTCATGGTAACCCACCATATCTGGTGCTTGTTGAAGCACAACCCTGGCCCTGGTGATGATGCCGAACTGACCCAGACCACCCAACGCCGCAAAGAAAAGTTCCGAATTTTCGGTTTCGGAGCACACCAACGTATCGCCTTTTCCAGTTACAACCTCCAATTCCGTTACGTTCGAAGTTTGAGGACCGTAACGGAAGGTTTGACCGCTGACCCCGGCATTAGAAAGCGTTCCCCCAACCGTTAACCCCAGATAATCCGTCCACGACCTTGGGGCCAAGCCAAGCTCCGGTACGCACCATTTCAGGACGTCTTCCCATAATGCCCCTCCCGAGACGTCGACGTAGGCCAAGCCATTAATCCACATCACGCGAAAATTCTCCTCCATGCTGCGCATGTCCAGGACGATGCCTTGATCGGCCATAGCCTGGCCGTTTATCGAGTGCCCGTTGCCCCGCGCAGCAATCGTCAGATTCGACGACCGAGCCGCTGCTTTGACGACCCGAGAGATGTCGTCGGCGGCGGCGGGTCTGATGAGGGCCAAGGGCTTCACGGACTGCAAGCCTCCGAAATCTTTACTGGCCATGCCGTTGGGTGCACAGGGGATGGTGCCTTGGAGGTCAAGCGCTTGGGAGAGGCCGACGAAGTCATCGTCGGGCCTCGATTCTTTGTCAGTTCCGTGAACGAAGTGCTCCAGGTAGGCTATCATCTTCGACGGCGAAGTTAGTTGGTGGCGGTGGCGTTGGGAAGGAGGCAATTATGGGTGGCCGGCGACAGGTGAGAGTGATGGCTCTCTTAAAACTGAGGCCGTCGTCGTTTTGAGGAATGTTATTATGCAAACTTGGGGGTCCTGCCAGGTGAAGTTTGTCCTTAAATAGCGGCTGATTTTAATTTAATGGTTATTTTTGTAATGAAGGGAATTAAGTGAATTATTTGAAGATTAAACTGATTAATAACGTCATCACTCGGCTCAATATCCTGTTGAGGCTGTGATCCTTTCGACATCATCTGTCTGCCACTCATACGAATTTTTGTAATATATAATTTGGGAGCAGTGCTTCTGTAAATGCTGCCTCACGCTCCTGCTGTGAGCCCCCTTTTTTTCAAAAAATAAAAAATTAAAAATTGATGTCCAGTTGGAATATGAATATCCATTTTATCGACCCACGCAGAGTTAAAGAGGGACGCACATAATGTCCCATGCGCCAGCCAGTGAAATCGATCTTCTTACAATATTATCTCCAAACTAATTATTTTGGGAGCTAAGGTTGGTGGCATTAGAAGAAATGCTCTTTTATTTTCAGAGTAATTTTTTCACAATCCTATTATCTGAAAACAATCCCTCTTTATCAATGAGAATTGAGTTTATTCTGACAAAAAAAATTGATAATACATAAATCTAACTAATAATGTCAAGCTTTATAGTTATAGAGAAAACCTTTTTGCTACTCTTATATCTACTTTTTTTTTTATAAAAAAATCCATTATTCCTATTTTTATTATATATATACGTTAAAAAATGTAAGACATTTTTAATCAAATCTCACTCACAATAAAATAGTTACTTGTCTTTAAACTAATAACATTTTTCTATATTTACCCCTATTCAATATAATATTTTACTCTAAAATAAATATAAATTAATTCATTAATTATGGGACACTTTTTTAAAAAAATAGTAATGACATATTAAAATATTAAAAATATCTTATATCTTTTAATATTTAATTTTTTTAAAAAATATCATATATTTTTTAAACGAAAAAAGCAGTTAATAATTTTCCTAAATTATGCGTACGCATCACACGAGAGCGCGGCCCCTCTCGTATATTCGCCGGTGAAAAAAAAGAAATTGACATCAGAGGGGTTGCCCGACCGTGTTCGCAGTGCTTCTTCATTAATACGATGATACATGGGTGTAATAGAAACTGATCTGATGATTAATATAGAGCATGGACTATGCCAACAATTTAGTCCATATTTAATTGTAAGAGATATTCAAAGTTTATAAACATTACTCCCTCCCTGTATCTAATATAGTTGCTAGATCAAGGAACTTGTTTGCGTTTTAAATAAATTTTTTTTCCTTTTCAAATCTACCCCTAATTAAATCAGAGTATTACTTGAAAAGATCATTTATTAAAGGTTTGGGGAAAATCATTAAGAAGGGGTATTTTTGAAAACACATTAAAAAAAATCATATAATCCAAACTATCAACTATGTGTTATAAAAAGGGACAGGAGCTACAAATATTATATATATATATATATATATTTTCTCTGATCATATTTATATATAAAAAAAAGATATATTTTTTGATCTTGCTTGTTAAGCATGTCATTAACCTTCTATCACAATTTTCCCTCTTGCACTATTAAATGTTGATAAGAGAAATTACATAGGCTCAAAGTATTGAAAATTTATTAAAATTTTAAAAATAATCAATAAATTTCAATGTTTTTCTTTAATTATTTCAATAAAACATATTAAAAATAATTTAAAAATAAGATCAAGTGGAGTGTTATATTGAGGGATGGGGGTGTAATTATAAACTACTTTATAGGCCTAATTAATGCATCTTTTCATGCCATGGATAGTTTGTCACACGCAAGCAAAGCGCTGTGATCTAATTTGTTTTATATTCTATTCAGTCCTTGTCATGCATTAATATTTCACTATCAAACTTAAACCAAGGATTCCATTCTGCCAATCAAATAAACTGCAAAAATTGGTCTCTAGTTAACATAACCTATTCATTATTTTCTCTTCCTGTGGTAGTGGCTGTTTACTTAACTTGTCTCTTAGTTCTCGCTAATTAAATCGCGAAGCTTAAAATATCGTAATTTGTTACATTATGGATTGACTGCAGCAGAATTGCGGTGATATTGTGCGGAAAAGAGACGACATGAGGAATGAATCCTGAGCATGTCGATAATAAAAGTGCTTGCAATGCTTCTCTTACTCGATAATATAGTATTTTCCTAGGCGCTCTTTCATATATTTATTTTTTAATTTAAATTATAGATGTCTTAATAAAGTCAAAGGAAACGAAGTACCGTACGTTGACATTTTTAATTCCAGCAACAGCATCAAGGTCACCATTATTTATATTCAAATACACATGCTGGGAGCCAAAGCACGGAAGGAGATTATAAATGATTAAATTCGAGCGCGACTAGCTTGAGGGTCAAATATTTGTTTCAGTTTCCTCTAAACTATTGTTTGTTGTCAATGTTTCGTTAATATTTTATCAGAGAATGAAAATCAAAAGTCAAAATATGGCCTTATTAGTAGAGTTGTGCAGGGCTCTTCCTAACAAACCCAGACCTAACTTAATTATATTTCAAAGCAGCCTGTCAGATCTTCAAAACTTTGCACTTGAATGAAACTGAACACCTGCATCCGCAGAAAGACCATACATCTCTGAAAGAAATATAGAGTACAATGTTCTTATACGGTTAATTATATTGAATCAACGTGATTTCAGCGTTTTACAAATGCTCTTAATAATATAAATAATATAGACGGCGTTATTTTATTTGTCATGTGGATAATCAAGAATAATTAATATCCCTAGCGGTGTTTTTATAAATCATTAACGGTGATCATATATATTGCAGATTTTCAATATTTATCAATCAATAGCTATCTAATCTAAATTTTTACGCCTCAGAATATCTCCGAGTTTGTGCTTCAATACGTGGTTAGCAATTTGTTTTTTTCTTTTTTTTTCTTGAAAAAAATCCTTACATTAATTCGGTCCGCCTGATTTTCAACCCATTGCCACGCTTACTAGAGATATGATTTCAAACATATAATCAACTAAACTTGCAGAATGATTTCTTCAAAAGAGATTATCCAAACTAATTAAAATTGAAAAAGAATTATTTATTATTAATCTCATATCTGAAAGTTATATATTCATCGAGTCTATGTTTAACAGGGAGTCATGGCGATTAATAAACAAGTCATTATCAAAATGGGCGTGTTACGGCATTACTTTAATGCAGCAGCTATATATATAGGTAACTTGTATCGGGCTAGCCATCGATCGTAAAGGCAAATAAAGTCGCTTTCATACGAGAATCCAAGGACGATACATATCACACATTCAGACCTTAAAAGGAGGAAAAAAGACAACACAATAAGACACCGATAAAAGGATAACTTTACTTAATACGAAAGAATGTATAAAAGTACAATATATATATATATATTTTTATTGACAAAACTAGGAGAAGGGGCTTAGTTGCTCACAGCTTATGAAATGAAAGAAGAAAAAGTTAAGTGAGAGTGATGTATAAAAAGTTGTTTAAAACTTAGATTGCTCTCAATTTTATTTACTTTACCTGATTTAAAAGGCCCTCGAACCATATAAAACAAAAATAGTAAGAGAAAAGAAGCGAAACAAAGCGCAAAGATGATTGACAGCGTGGCCCACAGAACAAAGGCTGGAAAATTTGGAGGTATCTGAAATAAAATAGGGAACAGTAGTAGTGAATAGAGAACAGAAGTTTGATTTTGATGGAGGGCTTAATAATTCAAACAGGGAGGAGAGGCATGAAATGATGAAGCCCAAAACCCATTGTTTCACTACTCTTAAAAACTAAGAAAGAAAAGAGATAAAGGGAATTGGGAAACTAAGTAATGTATGTGTGATGAGGAATTAAATAATGAGCACCAAAACATGCTTTAGTTTTTTGAACTTTTCTTAACGTTATTGTTGTGTTTGTGTGTCGTAGCTTATTAGTTTGAGATTTGAAAGGGAGAGGCGTGAACATGAGAGTGTGCTGGTTGGTTTCGGCGGCTATGCGCATGCCTTTGAGGCAAGTGGACCAACAAGAATAAGTCCCCTCCATCGATCTGTGTACATGCATCCATAGCCCTGTCTTTTAACACTCATTAATCTCTTTACACTTTTTTTTTAATTAAGCACACATACAAGTGTTACACTATTTTTCCCAATAAAAAGACATTATAAATGTATAATTCGAATAATTTGTTGGGTTATGCAGAAAAAAACCCGACTGATCCCCTTAAATGAGTTTGAAGGTTCGAATCTCTTGTGATAAAAAAGTCATTTGGGGAGAGAGATACGATTGAAGAAAAGTGAAGAATGTTTTCATGTTTAATTAGTACTGGTTAAATAATTGAGGCATGGTGATGGAAGTGACGTTTCCCTCTCTCGCGTGATTGGAGACAGTTTCACGTTGTCATTTTGTCATTGGTTATGCTATTGTTATCATCTCATCAAACAGTAGTATGCTTCAGGCATCCTTCTGCCATTTTTTCCAGATTTAATTAGTGAAAGACTGTTGGATATTCTTTTGGATCAGTTTTACAATGTGAGCTCATCTTGTTGAATTTTCTGACGACTCGGATTTATTATTGAGGCTTCTTTCACATATATTCTCAGAAGATCTCAGCGATGTTCTCCGATTTTCTCGATTGAAAAAAACTCAACGTGTCTTTTGTAACATTTTCATGCTCATCGCATAAGCAGATATATATTCACTTCACCAGCGAAATTCTTCATGTGATTGGATCTATCTTCGTAGAGTCATAGCCTCATAGGCATTTAATTTTCTTAATCTTATAGCTACCAAAAACAATAATTAATGTTTTCTTCTGCTTTCTTCCTTGGTTGCTGTGGGAACGTTAGACCCACACTTTCTTCTGTGTGTACTTAATTAACACTAAAGAGGGCACTTCAAGTAACTTGTTGGACTCAATTTGTTGACCTGAGCTTCGGACTATTCAAGAGGAACGCAGATTATTGTCTTGTTTTTTCTAAACTTTTGATTCTCCTCTACATTATCCAACTAGT